TCCCTCCCTCCCTCCTTCCCTCCCTCCCTCCTTCCCTCCCTCCCTTTCTTTCCCTGGAAATTTTGGGCACATTTTCAAGACCGCAAATAACACAGTGAAGAACAGTGAAGCTAAGATCATTTGAATTCCATATAAACAATAGAACCATTGGGATGATTTCAGTCATGATTTGATTAAAAGGAATTCAAGTATATGACAGATCTGGGACAAACTGTAAATAACTTTTCATATTTATTTCAAAAGTAGCTTTTAAAGGCTTGCAATAGGCTTTATTGGTAAAGCAAACAGTAAAGGGATAGTAATTGTAGACTCAAACTACCCTTTCAGTACATTTGCACACAGTGGTGCACAACAGGGGTTCTGTGGCAGCATTTAGAATAACATTATTCAGGTTGAGTATAAAATACTTTGTGGTCCCTTGGCATGAACATGCTCTATGCTTCTTTGGTTCTCAACTCTCATGTTAATTCTTGCTTGGCAGTCCTGATAGATGAACTGGATTTACACCATGCCCAAGATGCGGGCAACCCACCAGCTGCATGGCATGACAACTCTGCAGGCTGAGCGACATCCTTGGTAATGATAAGGCCATGGATAGTAGCCTCCCAGTGGCTCGCAGATCTTCTGGCAGTGGGTGTAGCTCCGCCTGCATTCTATACAGCAGATTCCTTCGTGATCCAGTCTAGGGTCAAATGTCATGCTTTCTCCTTCCTGCTGCTGTGATAGGAAAGACAATTATTTTCTTCCCTCTACTGAGGGTGTCATATGCATATTATTTTAAAATAAGATTCTGAGTTCACTGCTTCAAGAAATCAGCAAGATCAGTTTTTACAAGTTTTCAAACCTTTGGAAACTTTGCCTATTTAACCTGTCACCAGCAGAACGTTGTGTGGTGTTTTAATGATTCCCTCAAGTTCCTCCATGCCTGGGCCACGGTTATCACTCAGTAGTGACCCATTTTGTCTTAAATAACATAAAAAAGAAGCTTTAGGATCAAAAGGAGCATTCTAACTGTTCCTTGTAAGTTTCAGGCAATGGCCACTGATAATCTTCCTTTAGACTCACTGATCTGGGGCCAGGCTAGGTCCTGTTCCAGCTCCTCTGTTCCCAGAGCACTGCTGAGTCATTTGCTCTCCCCTGCCTGTATATCAGCATCAGAACATAGGGAGGAAGAGCCTTAGGTGTTCCTAAACACCATCCTATCAATGAAGGGAGACCCCACTGTTGTTGCTAGACAGATCACAGTACTGCCCTCTGCTGGATTTTATATCTGGTTTATCTTTTCAACAACCTACAGGTCAGGTTTCTGCATGCTTTTAAATATGCGTTAATTGTACTGGCAAGAAGCCCTTGTTCTGATTTACTTCGGAGCATTGGTAGGATGATACAGGGTCTCACACTAGCACAGGTTAGCCTGAACTCAGTAATAGCCCAAGTTGGCCTTGATCTTAGAGCAGTCCTTGCTTCAGCCTCTTGAATGTTGAGACTATAGTTATGAGCGCCACACTCAGTAAGATCCCTAGTTTTAAGTTCTCTATCTAATCTCAACACCTGTCCTGGAGGCACCGAGTTCTGCCCTGTGAATTGGTTGTTCTTCTTCTTCTTTTTTTTTAAAGTCTAGTCAATTTGAGGAAAGTCAAAATGTTCTTAAAAGTGGGAAAACCTTTATGGAGCATCGGAACACTGGCTTATTTTGATAGCTGTTAACCTGTTGTCAAGTTTACTTGTTTTTCTGAAGTACTGTAAAGAGGGTTCTGATACGAATGTAAGGAAGATTGAAGGCATCATGACATTTCAGTCATAAGTAGGAAAAGTACTTCTAAAAGGACTGAGTGGTTAATACCTACCTACACTGCATTGCCACCTGCACGGCCACCTGCACGGCCACCTGTACTGCCACCTGCACTGCCACCTGCACTGCCACCTGCACTACCACCTGCACT